GAAAGCAGGAGATACAGAATGACAATTTTAAAGCAGCAGAAGATATCTGAGAGGAAGAAGCCTTTAGTTTTGCCTCAGCAATGCCAGAACAAGACCAAAGTGAGATAGGTTTATCCAGGCATGCTTGCTCCAGAACCCTGCAGTATGGCATCAGCTCAGGAAGCCTCCCCTCTTCCCTACAACAGGAAGCAATAGGAAAATTTCTGAACAGATTTAGAAGCTCCCACTACACAGCACTTGAATTCATGGCTGTGAGGATTTAAACCTTTAGAATGGTCCAGCTATATTGTTTCTTCTAAAGAAGTCCCTCTAATTTACACAGGACACTTCCAAGAGTACTTTAAAGACACCTGCTAATCTCTTTCTGATACTAAGAAGCCTCAATCCAGCCTTGCCAATAATTTCAGTCTGTGAAGAAACCTGCATTTTCAGACAGTTCTGAAGAGTCAGGGCTTCTAACATTTGGAAGAAGAGACTGTCAAAATTTTATGACAGCCTTACAGGCATCCATTGGTTTAAAGAACTCATCCCACACAAAAACAAGCTTTCTCCATAGAGCTCAATACATTTCTTTGCTTTGAAATGCTGTTTGCATGGGTGCCCTCTGTTCCCAAGAGCAATAGAAGGGTTTGAACAAAGTGATGCACCCACTCTTCTGTAAGGCAGGCCTCAGCCACCCTAACACACTGCAACTGGTCCTCCTAGAAAGAGATGGCAATAGGCCTACCAAACAGCTAAGGTACAGGCTGACATCTGGGCCTTTCCCTCCGAAAAGGCTGCACCACTAGTTCAACTCCTTTTTTCACCTTTAGGAATGGTGGGGACATGTAACTCGCCCCCAAAGCCACACAATTAAGACACATACAAGCCTCTCATTACACAGCCACGTTCTCAGCTTCAGCATCTACTTACATGTGGGTCGTTCTTTTCAGTTGCCAATTTGTGCAGTTCTAACAGTGACTGGTTCACATTCTTCTCCAGGTGCAGGGCGCACTCCATTGCAGTCAGCCCATTCTCCCAGTCATCACGATCAGGCTTCTAGAAGGGGAAAGCACATGACCATATTTTCTGGTACCACACATCATTAGGGACTACAAGTCTTTTAGATCAGTCTCAAAGCCTGTTTAGACCAAGTTCAGGCATTTAAGTATCTTCAAAAACATGGTGTGCACACAGAGCACGCTCTGAACAGAGCTGAACGCATGCTCCGAGTCCCAGACCTGTCCCCATTCCCTCTATCTGCCTCATGTTACATCCTCTGAGCTCTTGTAAACAAGACAGCTAATAGAGCTACTGTCAGCCTCCTCCCATTATAACCTAATGGCTTAAACATCTGCCTACATGTAGGCAATGGGCACAATCTCAGACATGAAGCAGCTGAGACACCAGTATAGGCACATCTAGTCTTCAGCTCAGAACTGCCTAGTATAGAGTCTAGTGTTTACAAGTACTCAGACTCACTAGTAAGCAAAGGAATTCTTCTCAAGTGCCCATTACTTAGTTTGCTGTTTTCCCCAGCAAGAGTTGTCTAGCATTAAACTGGCCCTACTCCAGTGCTTACTTTCTGCTGTTCCAAATAGTCTAATTAAAGTGACTTCAAGAAAACAGTGCTTTGAAATCTTGCAGGGAGCCATAACAAGCAACTGGAAACCTGAGTTCTCACATTCCCATGTCAAGCGATCCAAGAGTTCTCTACAAAACAGTGCAGAGAACAGAGAAGGCTCTTGCCATCAAATTTAAGGCAAATGAAGGAGCCATGTTCTACTTATCCTCAACCTACAGCAAATCACCTAGGGCTAGGCATCCTCTTCTTACACAGAAAGTACTTTTTATTAGTCAATCAGCACAAATTACCAAATTACTACATATCTCTACAGATTTTTGGGCTGAATGCCATGCGTGGATCACAGCAATGCAGTATGCTTATCTACTGTCAGTTGCTGCTCCTCTGGGAGAGGCCTTACAGGGAAAGTCATCCCCTTCCAGCCTGGAGACAGACACAAGTCTAGTTCTGCACTAGACAGTACAACCCATAGCTCCACTCCTCACCTTGATGTCCTGCAAGAAGATGCGTCCACCTCTCTGATTCTGTAGCTTCATCAGTTTCTCAGCATGCTCACGTTCCTCATGGGACTGATGCAGGAAGTACTTGGCAAAGTTTTTCAGAGCCACATCATCCCGGTCAAAATAGTAAGACTGAAAAATAAGAATTCACATGCTCAAAACTCCAAGCCTCACTCCAGCTACCATATAAAGCCAAGTCCATACTGCGACTTCAGTCTCTTATCAGCCCTACTTCAAGATGGCTGGAGTCCAAGCTAAGGCTAGCAGTCGCGTCAACACCAGCAAGGCAGTACAGCAAAACTGTTCCCTTAGCAGCAAGTTCCATTTTCCTGGCCAGGACTAAGTTTTAACCTGTATCCCTACCATGAACACCCCAGGGACACAAATAAGTGTTATTTATGGTTCAGTTCTGAAGATACAAAAAAACCCACGGATATTCTTCTGAGTGCCATTCAAATGCCTTAAACACAGCAGCCTTGAAAAGCCTTTTTCAAGAAGGAGAAATCCTCCCTGCTCCCTTTGTCTGAGTTTGTTTACAAGGACCACGAGTCAAGGTTCTGACTTGCAATAATGGTTAAGGGTGGCCAAGAACTTTAAGGCACTTCTCCAATAAGGCTCCTGTGCTTCACTAGGCTTATCAGGGATTAGACTAAAAAGTACACTTTCTACTTTTTTTTGGAAAAAAGATTAGCACCACATTTAAAAGAAAAAAATAAAAACATAGTCAACAGTAAATACAAGACCGTCTTTTTTGGAAAGCCAAAAATACCTTTAACAGCAGTTAGAAGCCACCACACAGCTTGCTTGTTCTGTGGTCAGAGCCATTAGGCAGGATTCAATGGGAAGCATTGTATCAGCTACCAATTATTTACCAGGCAAAATACTACAGAATTCTCTGCTCTTAAACCAGCAGCTTGGAGGTTCACATCAAGACACTGGTGCTTGTGTACCACTATCCTCCACCAACATAATCACGTCCAGCTCGTAGCTGAGGTTCAGACCATCGCAGCAACACAGAAGCAAGCTGTAGAGTTCTACACCCAAGCGCCACAACACACTACAGTGTCACTAGAAAGTCTCAAGTTACCTGGCACACCTAAAGCACCAAGGTGGCTGCGCAGAGCTCAGAGCTGCTGTCCAGACCAAAGTTACTCATCTCGGCTATGGCTAAAATTGGAGCCTCACGCCACGCGAGACAGGTAAGCACAGCACCAAGGAAACCACGAATTCCTACCGATTCACTTCGAAAACTACGAACGAAAAACCTTGCCTCAGAGACAAGAACGCCTGTGGGAAAGGTGCCAATCGCTTCGTTAGTCAACTCCTCGCTATCCAGCCCAGCCCCAAGGGCAGAGCCGCTTTGGAAGCTGCTGAGCTGCGCTGATAACGAGTCCGTCTAGGGCAACGGACAGAGAGCGGTTAACGTGTAACTGAAGTTCGCCACCGAGATAAAGGCCTCACCTACAGAGAGCGAGGGGCCGCCCCACCCCCAGGGGAAGGCCGAGAACGCCACAGAGGCGGAGGGGGGAGGGGAGAGAAGGAGGAGCGCGGCTGCGTCCCTAGGCACCGCCCGGCAC